GGGGGGGGGGGGGGGGGGGTCACTTAATATTAGGTTTACAATCCCTTTAACTAATCAATTATTGTATTTAAAATTATAATTATTATTTCAGGAGTTTCTCCAATAACTCTGTACCTGGGGGTTAAATTCTACGCAGCTGACCCCTGTAAACTAGCAGAGGAGATCACCAGGAATACTTCAGCATAATATTTAACACTTTTTAAAGAGAGAGTTTGCAATTTTTCAAAAGTTAAAGAGACAAATATTTGAATATTTTGGTTGGCATTAGTCCAACATTATTTGGCTTCCCTGCCGAAATTGCTTTCTAAATTATTTTTTAAAAATAATTAAATTTTCATATACTCAACGCCCTATTACACTCCCGATCAAAATAAAACCATCCCATCCCTAAATTAAGACTCCTTGTTGATCCTAAGCTGATGTTGTGTATACCCAGATACCAGTTCTATCTCCAGGTCAAGCTAGATATCCTTCAAGGTCGTCTGCCAGTACAAGAGGAACTATCCACAGAACTTGCAGCTCTAGCTCTTCAATGTAAGTTACAGTTGGTTTACGGGGATATAAAAATATAATGTACATTTGGTTTAGAAAATATGAAATGTTAGGCCTAAGAAACGTTTAAAAGTACAGGATTTCGTTAGCCAGTGGTAAAAACTGTTAATTTTGTGATCGTTAATGACAAAAATAACCGTTCGTGAAAAAATTGCATAAAACAAAACATTAAATACATTATATGCAGTCGTCTCAAACATCTCATACATCTCATACATCTCATACATCTCATGCATCTCATACATCTCATACATCTCATACATCTCATACATCTCATACATCCCATACATCTCATACATCTCATACATCTCATACATCCCATACATCTCATACATCTCATACATCTCATACATCTCATACATCTCATACATCTCATACATCTCATACATCTCATACATCTCATACATCTCATATATCTCATTTTTGTAAGAAATATTTTTGGAAAAGGTTTAAGGTATTTGTTTCTTAATAATTCCAATTGAAAACTTTGTGTCCTGTTAGGTTCTACAAATGGAGCATTTAAACCTTTATAAGAAGCGGATAGTTATTTATTTCAGTTTATTCTAATAATTAAACATTTGAAGCATTCTAGCGAATGATAAGAAAATACTTCTTGATTTTTTCTCCTTCTTAAATATAGACAAGGTTCTGTATTATAAAAAGCAAAAATCATTTGTAAAGTGTGAAAAACAGATTTCCATTAATGTCGTCTTAGGTTGGAACATTTTTAAATATAGTACTCTCGAAAGATTACTTTTCAACTGTTGTAACGGGTTTGAATCCTAGAGTTAATATGATTCACCATGAACCCCCTTTAATTAGTTTTGGGGACCCAACTTAATATATTGTCAGCCGATATTTTGGGTTAGGCTGGGGTCAGAGACATTTTTTGACCAGCAATGCGCGCAGCAATGAATTTGTTCTCAGCCTCGCGCTGTGACTCAGACAGAAAAAGTTTTGTGGGATTGTTTTGTTTTAAGGTAGAACTAATGAAAATAAAAAACATCTTTAAAGCATCTTTTTAAATAAATGTCAAGGTGAGGTATTGTAAACCAAACTGAGCACGCTCTAACGTTAAAATCACATTTTGCCAATTACTCCTTTAAGTATGAGGTAGAAATAACCAAGTTAAATTTCTAAAATAAATATGCCAAGGGCTGCAATAAAAAGTACAACTGATTTATTAATCAATAAAACCAAAAGACAAAGTCGTTGCGACACAAATAAGTTGTCCCAGTCTTGAAAATGGATGCAAAAATTTCTAAGCTGTACTTGATGGCTTTTTGAAGATGATCGACAAATTCTAACAAGTCTAACAAACATCGAAACTTGCACATTTTTATGATTCAAACAATTGTTTCAGCTGAATTGGGAGACTATGATGGAAGCCGACACAGTCGAGGATATAGTTCTGAATTCCGGTTCCTCGCCACACAGTCCGAGGATATGGAACAGAGGATAGAGGACATTCATAGGAGGCTGGTCGGTCTACAGCCAGCACAGGCAGAGAACAGGTTCATTTCTCTACTGTACTATACTGTATTGTACTGTACTATACTGTACTGTACTGTACTGTACTGTACTATATTGTACTGTACTGTACTGTACTGTACTGTACTGTACTGTACTGTACTGTACTGTACTGTACAGTGATGTACTTTACTATACTGTAGTGTACTTTACTGTACTATACTCTATTGCGATGTGCTATACTGTATTGGGATGAAATGTGCTGTATTGTGCTGTACTGTACTGTATTACTGTATGTCTATAGTCTAGGTACCTGGAGGAGGTAAAATGACATGTATCGTACTGTATTGCACTGTATTGTGTTGTAACGTGTACTGTCCTGTACTGATGTTTGTTTAGATACCTAGATGGTTAGACATGTACTGTTCTGTACTGTATTGTATTGAAGTGTACTGTATTGTACTGAAGTGTACTGTATTGTATTGAATTGAACTGTATTGTATTGAAGTGTACTGTATTTTATTGAAGTGTACTGTATTGTATTGAAGTGTACTGTATTGTATTGAAGTGTACTGTATTGTATTGAAGTGTACTGTATTGTATTGAAGTGTACTGTATTGTATTGAAGTGTTCTGTATTGTTCTGAATTGTGCTGTACTATAAACTTTAGTACTGTATGTTTAGGTATCTGGAGAAGGTAAAATGGCTGGATATGTACGGTGTAGATCTTCATCATGTAATTGTAAGTTTAAAAAATAAGAAAATAACATTTTTATAACATTTTTAAAGTCTTAGGTCAATTTTGATTGAAAGAGAGAATAGAATCACACTGTTAGATAACTAGACTGATTTTCCTCAAATTTTGAGGCATTTTATTAGCTTGGTTTGTACAATTGAGCAGATCTCCAGACAAAGCTTAGTTTTTACACAAGTTGTATTTTTATTATAATTGTTTATCAGGGTGACGATAATATAGAATACTTCCTGGGTTTAACTCCCAGTGGAATTATAGTTCTCAGGAATAGAAACAAAGTTGGAAACTATTTCTGGTGAGATAATATAACAGACATTTTTCTCTTAGACATTTATTTTGCAAAAAGGGGAAAGGTATTTTGTGTTCATGATTGCATCATATTACATAGTAACAAATCTAAATGTCTAAATGTCTATTTGTCGACAAAAATAAATGTCATCATGTTACATAGAAGCATATCTAAATGTCTAAATGTCTATTTGTCGACGAAAATAAATGTCATCATTTTACATAGTAACATATGTAAATGTCTAAATGTCTATTTGTCGACAAAAATAAATGTCATCATATTACATAGAAACATATCTAAATGTCTAAATGTCTATTTGTCGACAAAAATAAATGTCATCATGTCTTTTTGTCCTCATTCTCAAATAAAATAGGATAAAGGAGAAAAACAATAAACTTATGTTTAATTATTCAAATCGGGATCGAAAGTAAAAGCTTGCTGGGACTATGCCTAAACAATTATATCTGTGTGCAGATGTATTCATGTATAAACGTCTCCATGTCTCCATGTCCAGCTACAATCTACATGTATAAATGTATCCATGTTTCCATGAGCTTCAATCTACATGCATATATGTCAAATGTCTCCATGTCCAGCTACAATCTACATGCATAAATGTCAAATGTCTCTATGTCCAGCTTCAATATACATGCATAAATGTCAAATGTCTCCATGTCCAGCTACAATCTACATGCATAAATGTCAAATGTCTCAATGACCAGCTTCAATCTACTTGCATAAATGTCAAATGTCTCCATGTCCAGCTACAATCTACATGCATAAATGTCAAATGTCTACATCATTTATTTTTTACATGTCTGTATGTTTGCAGATCTATTTTATTTAATAAAATGTTTCTAAAAACATAAATTTCATTATACGAATTTTAAAAAAAAACATGAGAGACAAATTATAAATAGTATTTCCGAATAGGCAATATTAAAAAGGAATGAAAGGTTAAGAACGACAGATGAGAAATGAAGATGTGAAAGAATGGAGTGTATACTGTATAAAAACGAAACATATGCAGAGAAAGATACCTAAGACTAAACAGTTCTGGACAGGACAACAGTTTTTGTCTCAGGGTTCACCTTGCACCCTATACAACCAATACATCACACGCAAACCCAGAGCTGTCCGACCCAACCTGAAATATACATACTTGACCTCAAACCTTCACCCAACCAATCTCTCAGCACACTTACTTAAACATTAAACCACAATCCTTTGAAACCAGCAAAAACTCAGAAACAGGCTGCTTTGTGAGCCCAGCATAATTATATGTATTTTACACCTTTAAGATTTAAACCAATTGTTATAAAGTTAGACTTGTATCTTTGAAATCTTTACTTTCATGTTGTTTAAATCTTCCAATTATTTTCAAGAAAAATCCTCCGGAGTTATTTGTGCACCTTTTCAGTTCTCAGTGCTGTAAGCCAGATATAAACCCTCAATAAATCTCCAAATGTCATAGAGTACATCAGAGCAATATATTTTGAGCATTTCTGGAATCAAAAAGTGCTAGTTTACTGATTTAATGCGTTACAGAACCTTTACTTGTTCTTTTATAGAAATTTAGAGTTCACAAAACAACAATGGTTTCCGACATATTTATCGAATCATTATTTAATCGAATTTTTAAGAATATTGAAAATACAGGGTGTCCCACGAAACATGACAGTTGGTGAATAGAATTTAAAATGTCTTCTTCCATAATTAGTTAAGTTGTTTGATAATAAAGATAAGGATAAAAATATTAAACTACGATCTTATTAATAAAGTAAAATTGATTTCAAAGTAAAGTAAATTTAAGGAGAAAATGTTTTTTAACACAATAAACTGCCAAAAGTCTTTAATATTCAATATTTGGAAGAAGACATTCAAAACTATTCACTAACTGTCATATTTCGTGGGACACCCTGTACCTAAGTTCTAGATACCTTTGTGCAATGTAACTCATTTGATACAAATAATCAGAATATATCAGATTGTAAAAATCTAAATATTTTGTAGAATAAAATGTGTTTCTCTTTGTGTACTCTATAATATCTATATCCTAATATCTTTACTATACTTTATATTCTTTCAATGGTACAAGAAAATGCATAAACATAATTTCAGACGAATACACCGAAATATCTTTCAGATTTTCTATTTCTATTTTTTCTATTTTAGAATGAAGAGAGTACTTACGGATTTGAGACTCCTTCCCGCCAGGCCTGTAAACATCTCTGGAAATGCTGCGTTGAGCATCATGCGTTCTTCAGGTAGAATAATCCTCCATTTTTTTTAAACCAACCCAAATCCGCCATTTTTTTTAAACCAAACCAAATCCGCCATTTTTTTTAAACCAACCCAAATCCGCCATTTTTTTAAACCAACCCAAATCCGCCATTTTTTTCAAACCAAACCAAATCAAAAGAAATTGATTCTTCGCCACAAACTCAAATCTAATAATCGTTATACTCTGATGGTGTGAATTTAGATATGTTAAACTTAGATAATTCAAGGTTTGAAAAATCTTATGTCTATTACATTTGGTTTCAAAGATATAGGACTTATAGAACATTATAGTTTGTGGCAAAAACTTAATTCCTTTGTATGACAGGTTTAGAGGGGAGGGAGAGGGGGGGGGGTGTTATGTAGTGAAACCTATTTTTGTTAGACTCAATTTTTTAAGGTTGGCGGCTCATCTGATTGAAAGTTCAAATTTCAAATTAACTTTTTCTACTTCTAGATTAGTTCAAGTTTCTCCAGCATTCACTACCTCAGGAGTTCTAGGCTTAGGTTCAAGGTACAGTATATTAATTATACAATATATATATAAGGGAGTAGGTTCAGGTTTAGTTTCTAGATATCTCCAGGTTTAGATTGAGGAGACCTTTAGGTTTCGATTCCAGAGACATTAAGATTTAGGTTCAGATATTAGAGACATTAAGGTTTAAGTTTATGAGACATTTAGGTTTTGATTCAGGAAACCTTTTAGTTTAGGTTCAGCAAATCTCTAGGCTCAGGTTTAGGAGACACTTAGGTTGAGACATTTGGGTTTAGGCTTAGGAAACATATAGGTTTAGGTTCAGGTAATCTTTAGATTTAGGTTTAGGATACGTTTATGTTTAGGTTCAGGATACCTTTGGATTTAGATTCAGGAAACCTTTATGCTCAGGTTTAGGAGACATTTAAGTTTAGGTTCAAGCGACATTAAGGTTCAGGCTCAGAAAACATTAAGATTTAGGTCAGGAGACATTTAGGTTTAGGTTCAGGAGACATTTGAGTTTAGTATTAGGACATCTTTAGGTGTAGGTCCAGGAGACATTTAGGTATAGGTCCAGGAGACATTTAGGTGTAGGTCCAGGAGACATTTAGGTTTAGGTCCAGGAGACATTTAGGTTTAGGTCCAGGAGACATTTAGGTATAGGTCCAGGAGACATTTAGGTGTAGGTCCAGGAGACATTTAGGTGTAGGTCCAGGAGACATTTAGGTTTAGGTCCAGGAGACATTTAGGTATAGGTGCAGGAGACATTTAGGTGTAGGTCCAGGAGACATTTAGGTTTAGGTGCAGGAGACATTTAGGTGTAGGTACAGGAAACATTTAGGACATTTTTTAGGATTCATTTGAGACATATAAAACGTTTTAATGATGTATAAGTACTGAGTTTGAGCGCAAAGTCGACGTTTAAAATCATCCATTTGGGTGGTTACGTTTGAGAATAGATTTTTTAAAATTATTAAATAACGACGACAAAAAAGGCATCAAATATTCTACGGTAAACTAAGTAGATGTTTAGGAACTTTTTTCTCAATAAGTCAATGTTAGAATCAATTATCTATTTTTCTATCTATTTATCTATATTGAAATTCTGAATAAGGTTACCTATTTTCGGTGATAATGGTTAATTTTATTTTCTCAACCTGTTCCTAAGCAACTAAATAGTTTTCTGTAAAATTTTTACTACCCTTTTTATTCATCGTTATTGAATATTTTTTTGAAAACCAATTCTTAAAAATTTTCCTTTAAAAATTACCAATCCATGAGGATATTAAAGATTGAATTTGCTCTCTTGCTGAACAAATATGCGCCGTAAAAACGTCTCAAATGACTCCTAAAAAATTTCTCCACAATACTACATAATCATTTCAACAACCATACATTCCCGGTCACTCCCTATAAAGAGACCGTTCACTTATTTGGGTAATTTCAGTGTAAACTAAACAGCCTATTCGCTCTTGATTTGTATTAGTCTTACTTTTTAAAGACAACTGTTGCCGGAGAAAAAGCCGATTGTTCGTTCTGAATTCGAGCGCAAAGGTATGGTACCCATTTCAGAAATAAGTATATCAGACGTTTTTCAGCAACAGCAGCCCAATACAATTTTAATTTATCATATTTTAATGTCATTGTGTGACAGCGAATAGGCTGTTTAGTTTACCCTGAAATTACCCAAAAACTGAACACTCCCTTTAAAATAAAAGAAAATTGCATAAATTGTCTAGGTATGAAGTGTAACTGAAGCAATATTAAAGTATAAACATCTCAGTTTTTTGTTTTATATATTCATAATTCAGATATTTGAAATTCTTAAAGAATATGGAGTTTAGAGGATTAGGTTTCTTCAAGCCAGGGGTTAAAACTGCAACCTGCAGGAGGGGGATGGAACTTAATGCAGGAGGAAGAAGGGTTGGGGGGGGGGGTAAAAAGGTTTAAAGATGAATGGAAAAACCCATAAAACTGTGTAAGAACAAGACGACTGTATCGTAAATGATCGTAAATAGTCAAATTTATCTTTAAAAGTTGATTTTCAAGATTCTGGAAAACTTGATAAAAATAACATCAAATACACGTAACATGTCGTCTTCCTATTCCAGAGTTGTATTGGCCCAACTGTATTTTAAGAAGAAAGTAAGTTTAATGGGGATTTAAAGGATGAAAATAATTTGTCTGCTTTTTGAATAAATGATATAATAAGTGGGAGGAAATCGACGTTTCGATTTGAACAGGAAAAAGAGTAAGTTCGCGGATTTTATTCCTGGTTTTATTGTTTTCAGATTACGATCATCTGGTAGAAGTGAAAAGGATGTGAGCCAGGAGATAAACAGAAGAAATCCACCAAACTTTACTCGGTAATATTCGTCAAAATTCAATATTTTTAAAATGGTTAATTAAGTATTTTTTTCTGTACGTGTATTTTTTAGTAAACGACCAAAATAGATAATTCTGAGATTCAATTTTAATTAATTACTTGATTAAAGTGAAGTGGAGTAGAGATGATTCTCCGGTTTTAGAATTCTCCTAATCTAGTTCTATACTCAGGGTTCCTAGTCAGAGATACAGTCGGAGAAATAAACCCGAGGATCAGGATTCAAGGTCGTCTTCCAATACAGCAGAGAGAAATATTACAAATGGAGGGATAAAGAGTCCGACCAGGTTTAAATTAAAAGAATTTATGATAAAAACTATAGATCCTCAGTTTTTCGGCTCCATGAACCTGGATCAACTTTTATTATTCGAATTGTTGTACCAACCCATATGGACTATTATTTTCTGAAACTAAATGTTCTACGGAACTAATGAGCTACAAAACCAAATTCTTCTATTTTTGAAATAAATCGATTTTTAGAATTGGTAACGAATTAGGGCATACATCCTACTGCATGGAGATTTCCAATATAATAAAAAATCCTCGTTTTTGGCACACTTTTCATTAGTTAAAGCCTGAGACAAATAAAGATATTGAAATAAAAAGTGAAGTGCTGTTCAAGTGTTTACGAGAATGTTTTAAACATTTTTCAAATCTCTAAAACGTATGAAAACATTTTTTACACTTAATGCAGGATTTTATTTTTTGTGTGAATTTTTTTTTTACTTATTTTGTTAAATAACACTCGTTTGTGGTGGTTTAATAACAGAGTGAACTTTTAAAACAAACAATCAACAAGTTTAAAGATTTTTAGGTATGTATTCAAATTTTTGTTAGGACCAAACATGAAAAAGCTATACGCAAAATTATGGCATATTTATCATCCAGTGAAACCCTTAATAACGAATACATCGGAAGAATTTATCAAGTGTCGTCTTGACAATTTTTTCAATGAGTTTTATACTATATTACGTAAATTTCAGTATTTGCAAAAATAAATAAATAGCCATGAATATGCGGGAACAGTTTTAAAGAGTTCCATATAATCATTCAATTAAAAAACTAAATATCTGCATTATTCCATTATCAGAAAGTGAAGAATACGACATTTGATGAGCTCTTTCGATGTATTCGTTATTAAGGGTTTCACTGTAATTTTTCGGCACCCTGGGCGGGCCTGCCTTCGTCAGAAGGGTTGAGATAAAATGCCCGACTTGATTACTGATCTGAAATCTATAACTGATCCAAGAAGTACAACTGAAAACAATGCAAAAAAATATCTTCTCAATTTGCATTTCTCTTTGCCAATTCTTGTCTGAACAGAAAAAATGAATGCATCCTCAAATAAACAAAAATATGTTGAATATTTTTAGCATATTTTACTGTTGTGATTAACAAGGGCGTATACAGGGGGGGGGGCATGGGGGGCAGTGCCCCCCCTAGACTTGTAAAGGGGGGGCGTAGCCCCCCCCCCTAGAATTTTGCAATAATAAAATAAAATGTCGATTTTTTAGAAACAATGTTTTTTTCTGCTAGTTTTTTTTGAAGGAGAGATAAAGTAGTGCTTAGAAGGTAATTATTTGGACTGTATGTGTGCCTTTTAAGTATCTTATACTTATGCCTGATATCCAAGAAGCCAAGTGTTATGAATTTACAGTTCGAATTTTGCCCCCCCCTAGATTTATTTCTGTATACGCCCTTGGTGATTAAAGCATCCTAAACCGATGTTAAAAAGCCAAAAGCGTAAAAAAATCAAATTTCCCGCCAAAAATATGATCTTGCATTTGGTGTGAACAGGGTTTCCAAAACCTTTCAGAGATTTAAAAAGATTTGGAAACCTCATCATGAACATGAATTCCTTAAACAATGCCTGAATTTGCATTTCAAGGTTACGGTACATAAAGGCCTTGAATAATGAAAAGCATGCCAAAAACAAGGAATTTAAGTTTTCAGTTCTTTAAACAGGAAGCTTAAATCAAATATACACAATAGCTTAAAAAAATATTTAAGAAAAACTCCTGTAAGTTTAAAATGATAGCGGTAGGAAGCGCCCTAGATGATAAAAAAAAATATTAAAAAATGATAAATAATATTAAAAAAAAGAGGAGAATAGTCGTGTAAATAGAGAGAAAACTTACATATTTATGGATATTTTAATATTTAATATTCTTTAATGTAAATCTATCTTTATATACAAATGTATTAATAATTCATTTTTTACAAATTGTCTTTATTTTCCTGGTTAAACCCTTTAAAGGCGGGGGGGGGGGGAGAGATCGGCGCCCTCACAAATCTATTTAACCGTGTCCTACTCCTTGAAACTTCTTACATAGTAAAGGATAAATTGTGTCAGATTCTAATGTTTGTATTAAATAAAAAATAGCTTTTTCTCTTGTCATTTTGCAAATATGGCCTTTTTCTAAAGGGCGCGAGGGATCAGTTTGGGTTGAGGTTACTTATACTCCAATGTTTTCTTTAAAAATGTTTTTTTAAGCATAAAATTGAAAATTCTTAAAATTTGGACAGAATCTTATTAAATATGGATCATGCTTTTTGAAAACTATGAAGAATGAAAATACTTTTGTAATATATTTATCGGATTGTTGATATTATTGACAACTATTAACATTATGGGAATTCATCCATGATATTTTACAATTTTACTTAATTATCTAATTTTGATTGTATTGAGAAGAAATTTGATTATTTAGTTTTTTGAACTTTCTGTGAAAGAAGAAATAAATTAATTAAAATAATGAATATAATTCTATTCATTAAAATATAAGTCTCAGAATGGATAATTTGTAGAATTGACAAAAAAAGTTCTTTATTTTTCGCAACAATTCTTCGGAAACGAAAGAAAAGGTTGCAAGCACTCACTCAATAATCGCTGAGAGTGAATTATAGTTTAAAATGTACATGCCTAGAGCTACAAATAAGTAAGTTACTGAGGCTGGAACAGTTTAGTAAAGTTGGGATAAAGGAAATCAAGATTTATTTTGTACCCAACCCGGGAACTATTGTTTTCTGAAATTACATGTCTCTTGAGTCTATACACTATATTTCCACGCCCGAAAAATGAAAATGCCTCGTAAGGATTCCTGATTTGAAAAGGCAGTTTAGCTTACTCGTGTAATGACTTCCCTCTCTAATAGGAAGTTGAGCCCAAACCTACTTGTTATACTTCTGTTCTGACGCATGTACACTGCTTTAAAACATTTATAATTCCTATATAAGGAAGGAAAAATGTGTTCCTAAGGTACCAGGGTCGTATCAAAGGAACTCTGAGGGAAATGACCTCGCTGCCAATTAGGACTAGACTTTTCCTTCCTCTTAAAGGGATTATATTCTACTTCCTGTTTAATGAACTGTAAACTTCCTGTTTAATGAACTGTAAACTTCCTGTTTAATGAACTGTAAACTTCCTGTTTAATGAACTGTAAACTTCCTGTTTAAAGAACTGTAAACTTCCTGTTTTAAGAACTGTAAGTTTCCTGTTAAAAGAACTGTAAGTTTCCTGTTTAAAGAACTGTAAACTTCTTGTTTAAAGAACTGTAAACTTCCTGTTTAAAGCACTGCACACTTCCTGTTTAAAGAACTGTAAGCTTCTTGTTTAAATAACTGTAAACTTCCTGTTCAAAGAACTGTAAGCTTTCTGTTTAAATAACTGTAAACTTCTTGTTTAAAGGACTGTAAACTTCCTGTTTTAAGAACTGTAAGTTTCCTGTTTAAAGAACTGTAAGTTTCCTGTTTAAAGAACTGTAAGCTTTCTGTTTAAATAACTGTAAACTTCTTGTTTAAAGGACTGTAAACTTCCTGTTTTAAGAACTGTAAGTTTCCTGTTTAAAGAACTGTAAGTTTCCTGTTTAAAGAACTGTTAACTTCCTGTTTAAAGAACTGTAAACTTCCTGTTCAAAGAACTGTAAGCTTCCTGATTAAAGAACTGTAAGCATCCTGTTTAAAGAACTGTAAACTTCCTGTTTAAAGAACTGTAAACTTCCTGTTTAAAGAACTGTAAGCATCCTGTTTAAAGAACTGTAAACTTCCTGTTTGATGAACTGTAAACTTCCTTAAAGAACTGTAAACTTCCTGTTTAAAGAACTGTAAACTTCCTTTTTAAAGAACTGTAAACTTCCTCCTTAAAGAACTGTAAACCTCTTCTTCTTTTTCTTTTACTTCTTCTTCTTCTTCTTCATTTTTTTCTTTTTCAGTTCTTTCTTTTAATTCTGTAATAATAATAAATCTTCTCCTTCCTACTTAAAATTATGTGAAACCATTAGAGATGTGCATCATTTTTGTTGTCTGTTTTTAAACATTCAATGTTTTAATTTCTTTTGCACGATGGTTCACAAGAATCTGAGTTTTTCATCATAAATTAAAATTGTATTCACTAAAAGTTTGATTTTATTTAAATGTATTAATATCAATGTCCATCCCTATTCATGACTACTATTACCCTTGAGCTCTGTCTCCTTTCTACAACTAATTTAACTTAAAACTAATCTCAAACCAACTTCCACCTTGTTTTACAAATAAATAAATAAAATATATGATAAATAAATAAATAAAACAAATAAATAAAATATATAAATAAAAATAAAAGATTTCAATATCCATAGGAGTTTTTTGCCATAACTCAGAATTGTAATCACTTTATCTTTGCAAACCGATGTCGTAGACCGTTGATATTTCAAACTNTAAAAGGTATATAATCCCTACCCCCAGGTATAAAATCCCTACCCCCAGGTATATAATCCCTACCCCCAGGTATAAAATCCCTACCCCAAGGTATATAATCCCTATAATGGACGATCAAGAAGAAAGAATGAAATTTAAAAATATTGTAAAATTTAATTAAAATAAATTATTAAAGTTGAATATTACATGCCACTATATGTATCTATATAAAGGGTTACATAGTATTACGTCTACAGTCTCTTTAACTCTAATCACAAGAACTACAATAATAAAGTTTTAAGATATATTTTCTACAGGGTTGGACGGGTTGGATAGAAGTTCTATTCTGCTGGATACTGGAGAAGTATCCCTGCAGTCCCTCCAGTACCTGGAGAGTAAAGGACTGTTTGGATCTAGGTCCAGGAGACACAGTGAACATGATACTCCACACTCAGAACATAGTACTCATAAAAAGTAGGTTTTTAAAAATGTTTTTGTCCAAAGAAACTCTAATTTTATAATCCTTACATCTTTACAACCTAATGTCGTAGACCTTTGATATTTAAAGTTATTAATTTTGCTGGATCAAACTGTCAAAGTTAACAGTATCTAGGGTATCAGGTTGAAAAGGTCATTTACTGTACTTTAAGAAAAAGATTTCAATTTTCTAAATGTTAACTTTGATGCACGGTTTTTTTCTTCCCAAATAATCCGTGGTTTATTTTCAAAAATTGTTGTTTTTTTGTATGACAAACCATTGCACTCGTTGCACTGGATAAACTGTTTTCCTGAATTCTGAAATATCGAATTCTTAAATTCAGGGAATTTTTGCAAGACATTCCGGGATACAATTATTATCAAAACTCTGCTGACAGCAATACTTTTTAAGAACAAGGAACTATTCTTTGCAAATTATAAATTCCTGGAAGAAATTATGATACGATTTCAAAGCGAAAATGGTATTTTGGGGTTAATATTTTTAAGGTTTAGACTCAATAATTTAGAAATGTCGATTAAAATTGTTGAGTCGCGATAAACAAAGAAAAAATGGCGGTTTAAAAAACTACATTTAAAAGCTAAACTTGTGTTCTTTAGGCGGGGTTCTCGGCGTCGTGGTTCGGATGAGGAGAGTGAGGCGAGTGGAGTAAGTTTAGGAAGCGCTAGAACTCACAGGAGAGGCGGAGAATCAGGGAGTGAAAGTGAGAGCTCCAGGTAGGTTTAACAACACAAGACTAAGCTCCAGGTAGGTTTAACAACACAAGACTAAGCTCCAGGTAGGTTAAAAACACAAGACTAAGTCCAGGTAGGTTTAACAACACAAGACTAAGCTCCAGGTAGGTTTGACAACTAGGGATAAGACCTCCGTGTAGGTTTCACAACACAGGACTAAAGCTCCAGGTAGGTTTAACAACACAAGATAAGTGCTCACGATGTGTTTAATACTCCAGGTAGGAAGGTTTAACAACATTAGAAAAGCGCTCAAGGTAGGTTTAACAACACAGGATTAGAGCTCAAGGTAGGATTAACAACATATGATTCAAGCTCCAGGTTAGGTTACCCAGTAGAAAATTTATGTACTGTAATATTGTGGAAAGTGTATAGTGTAAACTACACAATGCATAATACACACATAAATATCTTTACATAGATAGAATATTGGAAAAACTGACCTCTTTCTATCTATCTATCTATTTCTATGTACCCAGGAGTATGAGGAAGAACCACCGAGGGCGACGAAGACGACATGGAAGCTATAAACTGGTTGAAACCGGTATTACCATGGGGGAGAGCAGGGGTGGAGTTGCACAGGCTACTGTTAGGAAATCAGGTATTTGTCCTAATCTTAGGACAGGTTACTGTTAGGAAATCAGGTATTTGTCCTAATCTTAGGTCAGGTTACTGTTAGAAAATCAGGTATTTGTTCTAATCTTAGGTCAGGTTACTATTAGGAAATCAGGTATTTGTCCTAATCTTTTATCCAGGGTAGGATTAACTAATAAACCTTGTCTCCAGGTTAGGATTAACTAAAACTTGTCTCCAGGTTAGGATTAAATAAACCTTGTCTCCAGGTTAGTGTTAAATAAACCTTGTCTTCAGGTTAGGATAAACGTATAATCCTTGACTCTAGGTTAGGATTAACTAAACCTTGTCTACAGGTTAGGATTAACTAAACCTTGTTTTCAGGTTAGGATTCACTAAACCTTGTCTCCAGGTTAGGATTTACTAATAAACCTTGTCTTCAGGTTAGGATTAACTAAACCTTGTCTCCAGGCTAGGATTGACTAAACCTTGTCACCAGGTTAGGATTAACTAAACCTTGTCTCCAGGTTAGGATTGACTAAACCTTGTCTCCAGGTTAGGATTAAATAAGCCATGTCTCCAGGTTAGTATTAACTAAACCTTGTCTTCAGGTTAGGATAAACGAATAAACCTTGACTCTAGGTTAGGATTAACTAAACTTTGTCTACAGGTTAGGATTAACTAAACCTTGTCTCCAGGTTAGGATTAACTAAGCCTTATCTCCAGGTTAGGATTAACTAAACCTTGTCTCCAGGTTATGTCAACTCCGGAGCAGAGACGGAGTCGGAGATGGTTTCCACTCTCAGGAGAAACAAGAGAAGACAAAGGTTGGATTCAGCTTCTTAAAGATTATTTTTTGATTAAAAAAATGTCTCGATTTTTATTTTTTTTCTGTATCCTAGATCAAGATCCCGATCTCCGAGTGATGCTCGAGCTAGACTCCCTACCGAGCTAACCAAGCATTTCGAGTACAGTCTTATCGAACCCAGCAACCCGAGCTTACTACAGGTGATCTCCGTCTTTTGGGGTTTGGGAAAAGTTAATGATTAATATTAATCAAACTTTAACAAAAAATCATTCAAAAAATGCATTGTTTTAAAAAATAGAAAAAGGTGAAAAATTACTCCGTCAATATAAATCTAATCAGATCGGTTTAGTTCAATATTTAAAATGAAATTAAGTTATTTCCCCCCAAACCAAAAATGCACTTAAAAGAGATACAAAAGCTTAAAATTTTTTAATAATGTTTAAAATATTTGTTTTTTTAACCTTTTTTGGACTCTAATTTTAAGGCGAAAAAACATTCAAATATTAATTCTCTCGTATTTTTAATCAAAAATTGTGGATTCTAAAGAATATTCATAGATTTTTTTTAACTTTATTATTTTTTTTTTTGGCGATGAGATTCTTATATTTTAAAGATTATAGTTGTAACTGTGTTGTTTCTGTGTTTAAAGATTATAATTGTAACTGTGTTGTTTCTGTGTTTAAAGATTATAATTGTAACTGTGTTGTTTCTGTGTTTAATTTGTTAAAGTTTGGATTATCTCTTTAACTCTTCTCTTTAAATTCAATTAGTCAAGTGTTTCTTTAAAATATTCACATGAATATATAAACTTTTTAAAACTTAAGATTTGTAAAGTAAAACAATAGGGGGGGGGGGGTAGCGTTCGCTTACATTTTTTTTGTAAACAGTTTTTCCTACCTCCCTATTTCACCAGTTTCAATTAAATCCATGTTTTTATTTCCCCCGCCCAGTTTGTAATCTTTATTTCTTTTTCCTATTTAATTAAGTAATCAAGGAACCCTGTTTTACCTCTTAGCGTTGATTAGATTGAACCCTGGTTCACTTCTAGAGTAATTAGTTTAATATGTATACTAATAGAATCTATTAGAATTATTATTCAAAAAAAAATTAATATTTTTTAACTTTTTAAAGCTAGGGTAGATTTACAAACATTGATTACTTCTAGGATATATCTATAGATACTGATTACTATAACTAGGATATATCTATGGATACTGATTACTACTATAGATATATCTATAGATACTGATTACTCTAAGTATATTCTATAGATACTGATTACTACTATAGATATATCTATAGATACTGATTACTCTAAGTATATTCTATAGATACTGATTACTCTAAGTATAGATCTAGAGATATTGATTACTCATAGGATTGTTCTATAGATATTAATTACTCTAAGAATAGATATAAAAATATTTATTACTCTAAGGATAGTTCTATTGATATTAATTATACTCTAAGAATTAATCTATAGATATTGATTACTCTAAGAATAGGTGTTTAGATATTGATTACTCTAAGGATAGATCAATAGATTTTGATTACTTTAATAGTACACTCTATAATCCCTCTAAGAGTACGCTCTATAATCCCTCTAAGAGTACGCTCTATAATCCCTCTAAGAGTACGCTCTATAATCTATCTAAGAGTACGCTCTATAATCCTTCTAAGAGAACGCTCCATAATCCCTCTAAGAGAACGCTCTATAATCCCTCTAAGAGAACGCTCTATAATCCCTCTAAGAGTACGCTCTATAATCCCTCTAAGAGTACGCTCCATAATCCCTCTAAGAGTGCGCTCTATAATCCCTCTAAGAGTACGCTCTATAATCCTTCTAAGAGAATGATCTAAAGTATTTATAACTCTAGGATAAAAATAAATTTAAATCTAATAATTTATTTATTTTTAGGAGATTCCTTTCACTCAAGTTGAGACAGATAAACCAATCAAGGTGAACATTTATTTTTCATCTTAAAAAGTTTTTGCTTCTTAAAAAAAGTTTTTGCTATCTCCAGAAAGAAAATTATCAATAATTACAGATCAGACAAAAAACAAAAGTAGAACTAGTTATTTCTGTTCTAAAGTTTTGTTAATGATAATCTATTAGCGTACAAGCTTTTCAAACATATAACTTATTTGTGTAGAACGTACAGTGGGTTCCATAAAACTCTGGAATAGAAAGACGGCAGTTAATTTTGCGAACATGAAAAACAAAATAGTTGAAATGTCGTCTTCTAATTTCACAGTTGTAAGGGCCCCACATTATGATATGAATTAAAAGTAACGATAGTTGCTCCAAAAATATCTTGTTCCAGTTTGGGAGATTTTTATGGATTCAAATGTGCAAGATAAACCTTTCTGTAAAGTTTTCCATTCTTCCCAATCTGATGAAGTTTTACAATCTCTCAATACAATATATATATATATATATGTGTATTATTGTATGCCTGCTTCGTATCTTCTTTCCGTCAGACGTTTCGATTTCCGACTTCTCCGAGAATAGTTTAAATCACAATTCACATTTTCCTAAAAATAGATCGCTCTCTCAGCTCCCTTTTGTCAGAGATAAATTCTAAAAAGAAATTACTTAAACTTAATATTGAATACACACATCCACCCAGACAGCAAAGACCATTTCGAATCAGTTTTCAAGACAGGATTAACTTTAAAGTGTCTTTGCCGCCGGTTTTTACCTACCACCCAACATTTGCTTTTTTAAAGCATTTGACATTATATCATTACATTTACAACTTGCTTGTTGTTTTTAATTTCTTTACTCCTGACCCTGTTTGAAAGGAGTAATGGGCAAAATTTTGAAGGTTGTGTACACATTTTTCTTTACCTGTAGACCTATACTGATCCTTTCTTTTACATCATTTTTACATTATAAAAAATTGAGTTTCGTAAAAAATGATAAATAAATCCACCTAATTTGAATGTCGTCTTCCAATTGAGTATTAAGATGTAAGCCAAGATATGAGACTTATTTTTATTCCCTTTTCCTCTAGGTTCGGTATAGCACTGCAGGAGGAGGAGGAGGAGGAGGAGGAAGGAGATCACGACATAATTCAGCTGGATCTTCTGCACGTCGAAGACTGTAAGTATCATCACAAAAAGCGGAATGAAAGTCATCTTAAACCTTTAAAATAAAAAACACAGCTTTGGATTTAGTGACTTATTAACGCTAAAAAATGTGTTGTATTCATTTTAGAAAAACTAGGCTTTTAGGGCGCTTCGCGCCCATCGTCTATTTAAATTGTGAACATGTTCTTTTTTTTACATTTTAAAACAAAGAAGAAAAAAATGTGCGGATTTAAAAAAAATTCGCGGATTTTCAAGAATTTACATTTTTTTTACAAAATTAAAAACCTTTAAAACACATTTATTTTTTATTTTTATGATTCATAAACCTTCCCTGTGGTCACGTGATGTCCAACAAAAAATGTGGGCCCGATTGGTTCAGCCGTTTTGACGTTTATTGGATACAAACAAACAAGCAGACAGACAAGCAAAATTTATATATAGATGTCAATCACAACCGTGACAGCTGACCACTAACAAAATCTGCAGCAACATTTCTATCTAATAGGCATTGATAAAAACGACTTGTAAAATTTGTCTGAATTTTTCTTTCAGTATAATTGTTAATGTTTATTCCTAGACCGGTTGATGAAGACCGAGCGATGTCTCTTGTTCAAGCTCCGACCTTTGTACAGATCCAATCCTCGTCAAAATCCGCTCTCATCAATCCTTATCATCATAACCCTTCAAATTCATTTAACCAAACACAGTCTTTAAACCACAACCAATCCCTCAGCTATAGACAGTCTCCAGGACAATCTCAATCCTTAGCTGTAAATCAATCAAGTATTTACAACCAAGCTAGGCAACAACAACCTATTCTACAACATTCACAAGAAAATCTTCAACAGCATATTCAGCAACATCAACAGGAACCTCTACAGCAGAATATGCAGCAACCTCTTCATCAATCTCCATTTATTCAACAACGCCAGAGTAACCTACATCACGGTCATGTGAGTAGAACTGCTCAGATAAGAAGTAGCAACTCCCATCTTCACACTCCAGGGTTTCAGACCAACCCGGAGAATCCGTCTTCTCGAGGTTCCAGCCAACATACTTCGTACCTGGAGCAAAGACCAAGCTTGCCTGAGCCTAGGGAGGATGAGTTAGAGAGAAGAAGTATGAGATCACACACCAACTTTATCCAACCAGGGCTCCCTGGATCTATCGGAATGAACGGATATACAAATCACGGAATGAATCCGTCTGAAAGTGTTAACTCGTTGAGAGAATTAAATTATCCACAAGCGTCAGAGAATCCCCAGAGTGGAGCTTACGCTAACCCTGGATCTCAAGATACAAGATCCCTTCCTGTCTATCCTCATCCACCGAACCCGGAGCTCCGAGAGACTCACACAGCACGCCTTAATCAAAGAGTTCAAGGTTCTCGTCCTTCTCCTTCTCCTCGTCCCAACCTGATCTCTACTCCACCTGCTCCCTCTCCAAGAATATATAAACCTAACGGAGATATCGATAATTCTCAACCTCAGTACTCAAATTCTCCGGTTCAATTCTACAGATCTTCCGTCCCGGCTCCGGGATATATGAACCAGGGACCTGTAACCTATCCTTCTAAACCCCAACCCCCTCCTCCACCGTATTCGGGTATACCTCCTATACCTCAGATTAGTTCTTTGGACTATAATCCTGTATATACAAGTTCTCCCGGTCTAAAACAGAGCACAAGGTAGCTGATGCACACACTTTAAAACATTAAAAAACAAGCATCTACATTTTATCAATCTTAAAAACAAATTTCTGGATTTTTTTCTCTCTTCTAAAGTGATAAAAACGAAACCAGGATTTCACCCTGTTTTTGTTTTTGTCTAAATCCAACTTTACCAGACTTTTCTGCAAACTATTGTTATGATATTTTATGGAAAATGTATTAAAGGCAAAGTTTTGAAATTCAGAGCAAAATGCCTGTTAAAAACACTTGATTTGCAAGCTCTGTGCTTTAGAATGTTACAAATTCTTTTTTTTATTTTATTTGTTTTGAAGATAAGTTAGTTTCCAAGATGGATGCAATATACGAACAACAGTTGCAGGAATACAATTTCTTCTCATCAAATATTTAATTTGTTTTTCTCTTAACAAGGATTTTCATAAATTATACATTCTTCAGGTTTGGAATATCTCCGTCTTTTACTAGAACGGAGGGAGGAGACAGGGAGAATGGAGGAGGGATGAGAGAGAATGGAGTAGGGATGCGGGAGAACGCATGTGGGATGAGAGAGAATGGAGTTGGGATGAGAGAGAATGGAGTTGGGATGAGGGAGAATGGAGTTGGGATGAGGGAGAACGGAGGTGGGATGGTTGAGAACGGAGGAGGAATGAGAGAGAACGGAGGGGGGATGAGGGAGAACGGTGGAATGAGGAAAGACCCCCCAGACTATGGGAGAAACTGGCCACCTATTTCAAAGGTAAAAAAAACAGTCTAAGATTTAATTTTTATAATTTATGTAAAGCTTTTAAGGTGCTAAAATTATTCATTTTGATTTTAGGTTCCTGGGGTTAAATCAAGGGGAGGAGGAGGGTTTGAACCATCCGGGGACGAGATGTCGACAGAGCTGTGATTTTCTTGCATCTTGGTCTTTACTTCAGGAGACCTGGAGTAAGTTTTTATTCTGTAGAAAATGAAAAAAATAATATCTCTACATCAGTCCTTAAACATGTTTGTGATAATAATGTTTATGAAACGAAACGGCTAAATATATTCAAAATGATTAAATTATTGTGATATTCAATTTGTCCTGTAAATAAATGTAAATACTCCTTAAAACATGTTTAATTTGACAATGTAAATTAGTAAATTTAAGGAAGGAAGGAAGGAAGGAAGGAAGGATATAATACTTGGACCAATATTCTCTGGTACCCAGGATGAATACTAGTTCATTTTATTTAGATAAATGGGAGAAATTCCTGCCCAATCCTGGTCTCATTTTATATGAGGAACTGACATACAAACATAAACACACAAACGCACAACATCCATATTTAATTTCGGCTCGTGTAGTTTGTTTTTGTGCATTCAATTAACGTCAAATTACGGCTAGACTGATCTGAGATTAGTGATGTACGAAGTACAAATTAAAATCCAAACTTGAAAAATTGAGGACAAAGTGCCTTAAACTGAAAAGTATATAATATATATACACGCACATAAACCAGCTTACACTAAATACATAAAACTTTATCATAAAAAGCAAAGACTTAGATAAAAAGCAAATTTTTTTTTAAACATGAAAAGGGGATTATCTCTGTGTATTTATATATTTATATTATAAAATATCTATATATAAAATTTTATATTTTCGAAAATTTGGATATTTAAAAATTTTCTTATTGCATTGAAACAAAAAAACATACATCAATTAACTAAACTACCAGATAATTATGACAAATCAACTAACTACCAGACATTAGACAAGTAGGACCAATCTACTAAACTACTTGTCAAGAAGGACCAATCTAGTAAACTACTAGACAAGTAGGACCAATCAACTAAACTACTAGACAAGTAAAACCAATCAACTAAACTACTAGACAAGTATTACCAATCAACTAAACTACTAGACAAGTAAAATCAATCAGCTAAACTACTAGAAAAGTATTACCAATCAACTAAACTACTAGACAAGTAAAACCATCAACTAAACTACTAGATATTTGTTGAAGATATAAACAATTCGACACAGAAATTTAAAAAAAATTTCTGTCTTATTTTTTTTAAATTGCGTATTCTACCTTTACAACGGATCGGGAGCAGAACTACTGAATTCCATCTGTTCAGTGTAGATTTATCAAAACTATAATTAAAACTACTCAAAAGTTTTGTTGAAGGTTGATGGAGGGGATCGGAATTAGTGATGGGGATGGTTTTTTTAGATTATTTTTTTAGAATAGTTTTTTTTATAGATACTGAAGGTTTTTGACTTTTTAGAGGCTCCGCAAGAATCTGGGGTTCAAAATTAGTGCTCAAAAAGTTTGCCTATCAATTTAATAAATTGTGTTGGTAATATCTTTTGCGTATTTTTCGATGAAAAATGTTGCATAATGAAGGAAAGTAAAGATATCGAAAATACGATTTTGTATCATCTCAGATTTCTATGGAGCCTCACGAAAACTAAAAAAAAACTCTGATTGTTAAAAACGAAGTATATAGAAGAAGCCCATCTCTAATAAAAATATTTATCAATCTTGTGAATGGTGCTCGGAAAAGGTATGTCAGAGTTCTTTAGTTTTCCTTAAAAAAAAAAAAAAATATTGAATAAGACTAAAACAAGGAGTAAATTTACAAGTTTAAAAAACCTTAATCCAATCAGATTTTTAAGTTTTACCAAGTGTGTTCCTCGTTTTGCCTGGTGTCTATTTAGATTTGCCATGTGTGTTTTTTTGATTTACCTGGTGTGTTTTTAGATTTACCTGGTTTGCTTTTAGATTTACCTGGTGTGTTTTTAGTTTTACCTGGTGTGTTTTTAAATTTACACGGTGTGTTTTTAGATTTACCTGGTGTGTTTTTAGTTTTACCTGGTGTGTTTTTAAATTTACACGGTGTGTTTTTAGATTTACCTGGTGTGTTTTTAGTTTTACCTGGTGTGTTTTTAAATTTACACGGTGTGTTTTTAGATTTACCTGGTGTGTTTTTAGATTTGCCTGGTGTGTTTTTAGATTTGCCGGGTGTGTTTTTAGATTAGCCTGTAGTGTTTTTTAGATTTGCCTTGTGTTTTTTTAGATTTGCCTGGTGTCTATTTAGATTTGCCATGTGTGTTTTTAGATTAGCCTTTTGTGTTTTTAGATTTGCCTGGTGTGTTTTTAGATTTGCCTGGTGTGTTTTTAGATTTGCCTGGTGTCTATTTAGATTTGCCATGTGTGTTTTTAGATTTACCTGGTTTGTTTTAGATTTACACGGTGTGTTTTTAGATTTACCTGGTGTGTTTTTAGATTTACCTGGTGTGTTTTTAAATTTACACGGTGTGTTTTTAGATTTATCAGGTGTGTTTTTAGATTTGCATGGTGTGTTTTTAGCTTTACCTAGTGTGTTTTTAGATTTGCCTGGTGTCTGTTTATATTTGCCTGGTGTGTTTTTAGATTCACCTGGTGTGTTTTTAGATTTACCTGGTGTGTTTTTAATTTTACACGGTGTGATTTTAGATTTACCTGGTTTGTTTTTAGATTTACCAGGTTTGTTTTTAGATTTACCTGGTTTGTTTTTAGATTTACCTGGTGTGTTTTTAGTTTTACCTGGTGTGTTTTTTAATTTATCTGGTGTGTTTTTAAATTTACATGGTGTGTTTTAAAATTTACCTGGTGTGTTTTTAGATTTACCTGGTTTGCTTTTAGATTTACCTAGTGGGTTTTTAGATTTACCTGGTGTGTTTTTAGATTTACCTGGTGTGTTTTTAGTTTTACCTGGTGTGTTTTTAGATTTACCTTGTGTGTTTTAGATTTGCCTGGTGTCTGTTTATATTTGTCTGGTGTCTGTTTAGATATGCCTGGTGTCTGTTTAGATATGCCTGGTGTCTGTTTATATCTGCCTGGTGTGTTAATCTATTTTAGACCAATATTTGATAATTGCGCGATAAGAATTTTCTTATTTTCTAGTTATTGCCCAAATTTTTAAAAATAAATTTTGGAATGTAAAAACAAATACAAGTAAAAGGAATTTCTTTACTTCAACATTGTTAAAAGACCTTTACAACTGTTTTTGACCTTTAAAAAAATACCACAGACTGTTCGAGAATTTGAAAACTCTGATAGAAATTAGAGAACAATGAATTTATTCACTGTCTGGGTGTGTTGTAGGGAACCTTTTTAGCGTCTGAACAAAAATATTAGCAATGAAGAGAGACCAAGTGAGCGTGGCCTGATTTTTTAAAATTTTAATAAAAATCTGAAATTTTTTTACAGAGACGTTTTAACAGGATACACAGTGATAAATATTTCAAAGAATCATATATCATTTTGACAAGCATAAAAATATTTAAAAATATCAATATTTTCCGTTGACAAGCTGGTCACGGTATAACACTTTTTCTGGTATAAAACTTGAGTAATTCAACATATTAAGTTTTAATTCTACACTGTGTTTAATTCCATAGTTTACGATATACTTCACACTCTTGTATGTCGATTCCATTAGCGCCTGATCCTATCAGGGTTCAGCCATATGTTTGTTGTCTATTCTGAACCAATAGAAATTGCATGGCGGTAACATATATCATTCTATCTAGCTCATTATCCAATCAGAGTTATGAATCCTTCAATTTGCGCTATCACTAAATGGAAATATTTACTTCAACTTCTACTATGGTAATGCTCTGCACTATATCGTGTTCAGTGCTGAAACCTTTAAAATTTAAAACCCTTTCGCTTAATCTAAATATCCAATGTGGACACTTTTGATTTCAGGTTAATCCGCTCTTTTCTCCTCTTTATGGATATCCCTATACCAGAATCCGACCAATGAGAGTTCTCTCATTAAATGGCGCGCAAAATTTCAAATTTCCCTTCTTTTGATGCGCCACTCTGATTGGTTGAATATCCACAATTCTAAGGTTTTAAGCTATGTATGTAAACCTATAACGCTGAACTTTCCTATAGAGAAATAAACTGCCCTTTTAGTCATAGATTCTTAGGAGAGAGAGGAGAGAGTCCGTTTTTGGTCGGTGGAAATACTGAACTAACTAAAAGACAACTTCAACATAGAGTATATATTATAGGAAACTGGAAGCGAATATTTTAATCGATAATCAATCACAATCAAATTATTAGAAAAAATTAAAAAGGTTGGTTAGTGCTATAGAGTCACATGTTAACCATAGAGAATAAATTAAATTCTGTACAATTGTGTTCTGAGGTTATTCAAGAGTTGGGGTTAAAATAGGGAATCCTTCAAGAGTTACATAAACCTATACTCGGATGAAGATTTTTGTTAAAAGCACTTTTTTATTTGCTGAGTTTCCATAATGAATAAGGCTTTTTTCCCAGAAAAATCGGAATTAAATCTCTTGTTTTTGTTTGTCTTGTATACGAAATAAGCACATGTTGTGAATATCTAAAGAGAAAAAAGTTCTTGACAGATCCAATGGGATTTTTAACAAAATTTAGATCGACATAAAACATTAATAAAAGACATTTTTAAGCCAAATATCGCCTGTAATCGGCGAAAGTACGTTTGTTCCTTAGAAACATCGGAAATACAAGAAATGATTTTCATGCACTAAAATATTACAAAGTAAGTTGAAATATCAAGACATATTATAACAATAGAATTGAATATATATATGATTACTAATGTGAAAACAAGAGAGTCTATAGCACTAAATGAGGTTTGAGCTAAATAGTGTACATTTTTCAAGAACTCGACATTTAGGTTTAAACCTGTAGAGTTAAAAATGTCTGCCCCAAGATTGAAATTAAGTTTAATTTTCTAAACCTTTCTCAAGTTTAAACCCAACTTAAGAAAGGATAATTAAACTTAATCACACATGCAGTAGGGTTAATTTCAAACTCTTTTCTCAATGGTACAATTCAACCATATTGGTGCATGGGGGTTACTTTTAAATTAGAATATAACTAAAACTCATGTATAGGGTGCTGTCAATGATTGCAATTAGATATTTTAAAAATGAGATTCTCTTAAAGAAATATGATATTCAGCATTTTAAAAATAGGGATATTCAGGACTAAAGAATGTTTAAAAAGTTCATTCCGCTTCATAACGATACGTAATGATGATTTACTGAAAAAAACGTATCGTCTTCTCTTCTAGAAAATGAGTTGCGGCATTTTGCGCATTACGCACATTTAAAAATATCGAGGTCAAATTGAAATTACGTTTGTGCAATTAATTTAGATTTAATTTGATGCTTTATTTTTAAAGTTTTAAATTGGAACATCAAGACTGTTTTTGTTTGGCACCTCTGCAATCATTTTACTGTTTTATCTGCTGTTGTAAACGAACAGAAATTGGCTTATTAAAAAATAAAACCAGGGGAAGTTTGGTGCATTTACTTCTAGTTCAATTAAACAATATTTTTTATTTGAACAGGTTAAGTTAAGAGCGTGCATAATGTGTACTACATATATGTATTTCTCATGATTTAGATAATAGATATAATAATAAACATTTGAAGTAAAACAACGATAAAATGAAAATCATTTAATTGACCAAACTGTCTTTGCTCCCTTTGATTAGATAATAAGAAGAAAATTCACCAATTAAGTTAATATTATAAATTGTTTTGCACAATATTTGTGTTCGGTACAGTTTTGATGTGCATAAAACATTTCTAGTTCGGTACATTAGAATATTATTGTACAATGTACAATTCAATAGGGTTTAATTTATACAACTAAATTGTACGATATTCATGTAAATTGTACAAAGATTACAGGGCTGTACAAATCTGTGTACTGCAAATGTAAACTAGAATGTACAAAATACATTTGTATTTGGTAAAGTAAAAGATGACCGAATACAGAGTACACTTTAAGTTTTCAAATGTAAAATTAGCTTAACAGGGTTTCAACTGTTTAACATGATGAGGGATAGTCTCATATAGACTCTAGTTCTACACATCTTAATAAACAATGTGTAACCATAGTGCGATAAACAGAGGGTCACGAGCACACTCGCTTCACAACCAGAAAGGAAAAGGTGCGTATAGGCATTATTTGCCTTTATCAGTTCTAAAGTGTTGATGTATGAAATATTACACCTATGTACTTGTTCTAACCATTGCAGAGGATATGTTAGACAAAATAATTCATAGAATTATCACAAAAGGTCTGCAGGGTTTAATATTTTCCAAAATATTCTCTTGTTTCCGAGAAAACCAGGGTACACCGGGCGGAGACGCCATTCTTGCTTTCCGTTTCATTGCGGGAATAAAGCTAAGGGTTGGGTTTGGCTGGGTCAGAAATCATTTGGTTTGGTTCTCCGGGGTGGTTTGGTTTGGTAGTTTAGGCTGGCAAGATTAGAACCTGATCTAGCTTTTGGAAATATTTTCCTTCTTTCTGAAACATTATTATTCATGAAATATCAAAATTTAGGGAATTTTTAGGTTAAGTTTTGGAAGAAGTGTTTTAAAACAGGGGAATATGTCATTTCAAACTTTAATTTGTCAAAGTAAAGTTTTAAAGTAAAATTATTGCATGGCAAGGTCACAAAGTAAAATAAAATGCAAATGAAAAAATATATCTAATTTCCTCTTTAACATGTACTTACTGTCAAATCTTTCTTTGACGAAAAGAGTATTTTTTAGTTAAAATTTTAAACATTATATTGAGAAAGTAATTTAGAAATTCGATAATTCTTCTGAAAAAATCAAACGGGGAGGAGATTATATTTTCCCCAACAACTTCTCAAGTATTTACTCCAAAAAGTTGATAAAAACACTGATAAAGAACTAGGGTTTCCACGAAATGGCTAAATCTTTTGCGCAAAATTTGCGCTATTTTCGCGCAAATTTTTTTTTTGCGAACTTTTGCGCTATTTTTGCGCATGAAACGCAATGAGTTTTGCGCGGTTTTGCGCTATTTTTTTTGCGCAATTTGCGCAAAACCGGAAATATTTTTTTGCGAAAGTTGCGCATGAAACGAAATTTTAGTTTTGCGCAATACCGCAAGTTTTACGCAAAATGTAACTTTTTAGGCAAATTGTCAAAAATTGATATTCTAAGCTTAGAATTAAACAACTGAAGATTTATTAAGTATGATATAGACTATACTACACTCAATTGGTTACTTCCAGTTACAAAAAGTTTAAATTAAGGGACCAAAATTAATAAAATAGAAATTAGAGAGTGTGAAACAATTGGCAATATTTTAATCCTATTAAATAATTTCAAGTGACCCTTAAAAGCTTTGCCTAATCAAGTATGAATCATATTCTTAAATTTTTTTAATCATAATTCGGAAATCTTAATCTCATATAAATAATGCAAGAAAGTAACCAATGCCTGAAGAATACACTTTTAGGAAATATGCATGTTCAAAACTAAAATTGTCGAGAAAATTGTGAGATTTGAACTCTTCTTAACTGTCATTGGTCAATTATGTAAACGTGACCAATAGGAAGATATTCCAAAACAAGATTTTTCCAGAATTGAATTCTAAGAAACACACACACCGTCATCAACCATTTGATTTTTACGAAATTGCGGAATTGCGCAAAACTTGAGTTTCGCAAAAGCGGAATAGGGCAATTTTGCGCGAAATGACTTTTGCGAATGATTGCGCAAATTGTTGTTTTTTCGCGCAAAACTGATGCGCAAAGAAAGAAAAATTTTGCGTTTCGTTCCGCAAAAATTGCGCAAAAGTTTTGCGAATGGAAACCCTATAAAGAACCTTTCTCTTTGGCTTAATCTGTAATTTTTCATGATATTTTCCTTGTATGTAGAAAAAGAAGCTTGAAGATGGTTGATGAGCTCCAGGCTGAACGGATGATTACACGAACCTAATAGAAGTCCCCAGAATGCAGTCCTGAAGTTTGGTTGAGGTCTTGACAAAGGGCTAGTGCAGGACATGAGGCATAAAGTAACTTTAACTTGTTTCGTCTCTACTTTAATATTTAGAGTTTTGTTTCTTCGTTTAAGTTTTTAGAACCTTAGAAGTAACTGGAACACAAACAGTTATTAAATTAATATATAAAATTTAAAAAGATAAAATACTAACTATCTTGTAGTTACGGGATAACCACCGAGAATAAAAATTCAATGAGAATCAAATGAACAAAATCTGTACGATTTCCTCTAAATCTCCTCATCATATGAATTATTGATAATCATGAACTTAAAAGAGTGAGATTGGGTTAGTTTATATTCTACTGTGACGTAATAGAATAGCTCAAGAACAAAACAAAGCACATTAATAAGCAAGCATTGCTGAGACCATGCCCTCCATCACTGCTCAGAAATACAGGGCCTCGTTTACAATATTTCGAGTACGCAAAGAAACCCTGTTCTTCTACTTTTATTGCATTGTGAACTCTCCAGTACAGCTTCTGAACCTCATTTTACCTATTTGCGGCAGTGCGCTTCCCCAAAGCTGGCTTCCGAACCTCCCCCAAATAGTCTTCCGGGAAGGATCTTCCATTTATAATCGTCAATTTCTACTTAAAACGGGACTAATTTGAATTATTTAAGCACGGTAGTCGATCTGTAGTATCCTTAACATTTGCATAATATTTTTTTTTTTTACAATCTAAGGTTGGGGAGAAAATAGCTTAGTTTTATAGATTTTTTTATCAACAAATCTTGGAATGGCTGGTGCTTTTATGAAGAACTTTTAGTAATAAGCAGACATTTAAAAAAGTTTTCTTCAAAAATGTTGTTTCTAAAAAACGTATCTATTTGTTAATTTTCTAGTTATTGAGATATTTAAAGAAAAAAAAAACTCTGCTATAACCTAATGATTTAAAAACTATTGCTGCCTTTTTTTACAAGCGCCACAGATTACACACATATAGATCGAAAGATAATTACATTTTCTTTATTTGAGTATCGCTGAAATTGCAATGTTTAATGCATTATTTTGCAGGTAAATTAACTTTAATACGTTTTCGTCTGCAAAACGAATTTCTGTAAGTTTACGCATTTACGTAAAGTTCTTTATTTACAAGTTTAAGGGATAATTGAAGCTGTGCCAAATTTCAAATATGGAATTAAAAATCATCAAGTTCAGAACGTTGAATGGGTAATTTCCTAGAGAACGATTTTTAGACCCCCCCCCCCCCCTCCTATCAATTTTGTACATGGGTGTGACAGAAAGTTTCTTAACTTAACCTAACCCGTGGCCGCAGCGCTCGGCCCCCTAGCCCATCCTAGCCGCAGCGCTCGGCCCAGAAAGTATCTTAACCTAACCTAACCCTAAATAACAAAAAAATAAATAATAATAAATTTGCTGAAAAATAAATGGTCATGTACAAAATTGATAGGAGGGGGGGGGGGGGTCCAAAAATCGTTCACTAGGACAGACCCGTTGAATGTGTTAGAAAAAATGTTCCCAATATTTCTTCCAACCCTTGAGGTTCGGAAGCAGTATGGGGATTCAGCGCAATGCATCATCAAAACGAAACACAAAGACAATTTCAAGTTTTTCCAGCCCGAACTTTGATTGTAAAAAAAAAATTATTATGCAAATGTTAAGAATACTATATATCGACTACCGTGCTTAAATAATCAAATTAGTCCTGTTTTAAGTAGAAATTAACGATTATAAATGGAAGATCCTTCCCGGAAGACTGTTTTAGGGAGGTTAGGAAGTCCTCTGGGGACTTTCAAATATATAAAATGAGGTTCGGAAGCTGTTCGGGGGAGGTTGCCTTCCCTCCCTCATTGTACAGTGCTACAGGGCGTCATAATATACATATAATTTAATTAAGAAAAATATTAAAGATTAAGCTGCTAGAAAATCTACGAATGAAAGAAGGCTAAAACAGATATTACAAAGAAGAACAGCAAGAAGGTTGCAGACGTGTGGCCAGTACTAGATATTTAGAAATAAAATCAGCGTTTAAAAGAATACATAATTAAAAAAAATGTTTTTTTAAAAGTTTGGTACCGTTGTTATCTGACATGCTCTCTATAATTAGAGGGTCAAATTAATTTCGTTTACGCTCATTTTTAAACAAATCTTGATTTATATTGTGATAACTGTTCCTGAATGGTTAGAGCTGCTTCTGAGAAGTAGAATAGACTAGAAGCAGCTGATGCAACAGCAGCAGCACTACTACAGCAGCTCTCATCACAGCCAGGTGCTGGGGGTGGAGCTGTATTCGCTAAAAACAAATTAATGTGTTTATATATTAGTAATAAATCATTTCACCCACCGCATGTATATTAGCCATTAGGAATAGCTCAATTTCATTTTGAGTCTTTATTTATGGGAAAATAAAATTATCTTCACAACTAATTTCATCTGCCCCCTCCCCCGGTGAATAAAGTATAACTTTTTAAAAATGCTGAAAACGTGTGGCAAACACTTTTTTACAATTTTTCGTGAAAAAAATATTCAAAAAGAAAAGCTTTAGTGGGGTTTGTTTAAATAAAGGAACGCCAAAATAAATGGTCAACATTTTAATAAAAACAGAAAAGTGGGATGTTTGAAAAAAAAATATGTAAATTTTGCCCTGCATTTTAAACTAACAATATAAAAGAGGGGTTGACAAAATTCTAAAAGTTTTATAAAAGTTTGATTACTTAAAAAAAATCGATTTTTTATTAATTCTGGATTGTGCACAATTTTTTCAATTAAAACATGTGTTTTTCATCAAGGTCGATGTCAGATTTAAAAAAAAAATTTAATCTGAATGAAAAGTATCGAACATATTTGAGTAAGTGGCTTCAAACATTTTCAAAACAACAGAACCTGTCGGCTCAAAACCATCCCCATAAATCAGGACACAGTTAACCCGTTTTAGGCCCCAAAACAATATTTCTTACCCAGTTGAGGGAGGAATTTCCTCCAAAAGGCACATTTCTTGACCCTGTTCCCCTCCATGATCTCCGTCTTGTCGGCGTTCAGCAGCAAGGTCTCTCTCTTCAGTGGAGTGTGCATCGGCCAGTAGTCGTCCGTCCATCGGTTGTCAGCAGATAGAGATGGATTCCTTAAACAATTCTTTTTTAATAATTTTATCTTTTCAAAATTATTTTTTTATTTGTAACAAAACTAATTCAATTCTTCCTCTCCAAGAAGTTCCTAAAGGGGCCTGAAAAACCAATACTTTCTGCCAAATAATTGTAAAGACCCATTTTTTTGAAAATGTGAATTTTAGAAAAAAAAATTATTTCATTGGACTGCCCCATAAAAATAACGACATGTTAAAATTTATATTTGTTTATTAAGCAGTCTTAATATTTTGAAAAAACTCTCAAATTAATTTACTGGCTGAAAGAATCGAAGAATCGAAAAATTGAAATTAGCTTTGTTGTGTTTAAGGTCGTCATTGAACTGTCATTCTTTTGGGTAACCCTGTATTTCCTCACACTGCAGTACGTACATAGCTAAAGATTAATCATTTTAAATTATTGTTTCTCATGTACGCCTCGGAGACAAGAAGGGATATTAAAAATTCAACACATTTAAAAAAAATCACAACATATTTCTCATTTTTGTTAAGATAGAGGTATTAAGGGCACCGTTGTAAATCACACATGCCACTTATTTTAAATAAAGGATCCCCAGACCCTTTAAGAGCGAAAAAAGAAATGGTTTTGGTATAAAGATCTAGAACTAAGCAAAGATAGAGTCCAGATATAATCAATCAGACTCTACCTACATACATACTATACTATACTATACATACACTCTACCTACCTACATAGATAGATACTATACTATACATACACTCTATATACATACATACATAGATAGATACTATACTATAAATACACTGTACCTACATACATACATAGATAGATACTATACTATACATACACTCTACCTACATACATAGATAGATACTATACAATACATACACTCTACCTACCTACATAGATAGATACTATACTATACATACATTCTACCTTCATACATAGATAGATACTATACTATACATACACTCTACATACATAGATACATAGATACTCTACTATACATTAAGTTGCAAAAATATAGGGATTAGAAAATTTGAGTTTGTAGCGAGTAATTAAGCAACAAAATAAACAATAAATTACAGCTAATCAAGTCGATTTTAACCAGGCTATGTCTTAATGTATTATTTAGATTTCTAAGAAATGAAAAGATGAACCTAACACACAAATTACTGCCCGAAAGTGAAAGCATGGATCTTTATTTTTACTTTAAAATCCTCCATTTTCTGTGTAGAGAAGGAAAACTTAAAAATAAGAATAGAAAATGTATAATAGGAAGGATATTAATGATGTAGAATAATAATAAAGATATATCCGAGGAAATATGAAGATTTTATTCTAGAAAATGTATTTTATATACTATGTTTTTAGGTCCTATTTCTAGTAACAATTTTAGCTTTAAAATGTTGTTTTTAAGCCGCCGTCGTTTTTTGTATATTGTAAAGTTATAATTTTCGCGGATTATTTTGATAGATTCTCGACAAATTTTATTTTGAAATTTTTCTTATTCTTCAAATTCTTCAATTTCAACCAATCCCCTGGAGTCATTTAAGCTACACAAAAAAGAATAGGTCCGATCGGTTTAGCCGTTAAGCCTCAAAGGAATACAACAAACCAACATAAACACCTTATATTTATTCATTTGCTTGTCTGATTGTTTGTTTGTCTCCAAGAAACGTCGAAAAGCTGAACCGATGGGGCCAAAATTTTATGTGCGTCCTTCATGACCTCAGGTCAGTTTTATGTATGATGTCGGAGGCCAGTTAAAAAAAAACTGGCCTCATGAGAATTAAAATTTTCGTAAAATTTTGTCACAATTTTTTTTATAATTTAAAAAGAAAAAATGCTCACAGATCGAGCAACATTTTGAAGTTAAAATAGCAGATATGGGCATGAAGCGCTTTAAATTTCTAGTATAAATATATATAGATTTATAGATTAGTATTTCTAGGTTACACCCACAGCCAGAATATGTTTAAAAATTAATTTAAAAAATCCAGAACATTTGCGCCATTTGACAGTTAAAACATTCCGTAATAAAAAAATAAAAAAAACATAAGAGCAAAAATATTTCTATAAAATATACGTAGAAATATAATGTTTGGAGAAATATTATAGTTACTTAATTTAAACATACAAACCAATGTTCAAGTCACAAACATACATATTGTTATACATATTTTTACATATTTTTATCGATATACAATATATATACATGTATCCTCTAAACCATTTAGTCTAACCTTTACTTGTCATTTTCGTTTAACTCTTAATCTATCATGTATCTTATATCCTTATATCCTGCATCAAGTATCCTCAAACCTGGCCCTTTACACTGCTGTATTCTGTATCCTCCAGCCCTTTACACTGCTGTATCCTGTATCCTCCAACCCTTTACACTGCTGTATCCTGTATCCTTCAACCCTTTAAACTGCTGTATCCTGTATCCTTCAACCCTTTACACTGCTGTATCCTGTATCCTTCAACCCTTTACACTGCTGTATCCTGTATCCTTCAACCCTTTACACTGCTGCATCCTGTATCCTTCAACCCTTTACACTGCTGTATCCTGTATTTTCCAACCTTTTACACTGATGTATCCTGTATTCTCCAACCCTTTACACTGCTGTATCCTGTATTCTCCAACCTTTTACACTGCAATATCCTGTATTCTCTAACCCTTTACACTGCTGTATCCTGTATTCTCCAACCCTTTACACTGCTGTATCTTGTATTCTCCAACCCTATATATTGCTGTATCCTGTATCCGCCAATCCATTACACTTTTGTAGCTTGTATCCTCTAACCTTTTACACTGCCGTATCCTGTATCCTTTAACCCTTTACACTGCTGTATCCTGTATCCTTCAACCCTTTACACTGCTGTATCCTGTATCCTTCAACCCTTTACTTCTAACTCAACCCTTCTCCCTTGCCAAAATAGTATCTTATTTATAGTCTTCAACGTAAATTCGATAATTCCCATGAAGTGAAGAAAAAAAATTAAATTTTCAGAAAATTGAAAATATTCTGACTATACTGACTACTCGACACTGCTAATTTATAAATGCAATTTTTTGTAATTCAGGATTGCTTAAAGCCTATTGATATTCAAATGAAAATAACAGCAAATGACTTCCAGGGAAAGGAACTGATTCTTTGCCACAAACTCTGATTTTTTAATCCCTATATCTTTGCTGACCAATGTTGTAGACCTTTGATATTTCAAATAATGAATTATGTGGCATCAAATAATATAAGTTTAAAATATAATACACCTTCAATTTGCATAGATATAGGGATTTGAAAATTTGAGTTTGTGGCAAAAACTCAATTCCTTTCTATCCTTTTGGGCATCAACATTCCTAGGATTTTTCAATTTTTTTCATAATTTTCACACTTACCCTGTTTTTGCAAAGTTGGCCCAGTACGTCATCATCTTTTTTGATAGTTTGACCTCGCTATCTTTATATCCATAGGTTTTATTTAACGGTTGTCCAAACAGGAAATGGATTTCATCCGCGTGGAGCGCTCCACTCCAGGCCGGCCATTTTGAAACACTGGACTTCTGCGTGAAGTAGTACATGTATACATTGTTCCCTGTCTCGGCATATCTATGGGCGAACTCTATGACGGGACAGGTGAACTGCCAGTCCCCGGTGAACCTGTCCACCTCCATCCTGTTCTTGATCGGATCTTGGGGGTTCATCCAGTTGGTGTACTCGAATTCGATCGCCTTCTTCTGCTGAGGGTTGGCGTAGATGTTGAGCTCAGTGATGGCTCGCTTGAAGTCCTCCCTGGAGATAAACACGTCCTCCTCCTTCTTAAACATGTCTGGTAAATGGTAAAAGATAAAGAACATGCCTTCATCTTGGTTGGTTCCAGTGAGAATATTACATTTCTTAAAATTTCCGTTTTTCATGGAAACTGCGGGTTTTTCATCAAGGAAGGATCCGTCTATTATCGGAGTAAAGATACCGATTGTCAGACCTAGAGTTATCCCTCCCCACTCTTTATACACCATGTCTGTTGCATTTGCAGTTCGGAGACAATCGATTGTTTGTCGAATATTTGCCTTGTCGTGAGGACAGTTCATGAGCTCCGCTAGTCTCAGTCCACGGATAAAACTCTCCTCCTTCGTGATGACTCCCCAAGGGTTGGTGGCACTAGCGGACTGCATGATGGCCTGACTAAACAGGTTCCTGGAGAGAGGAGAGAGAAGATGAAGAGCTACACTGCAAGCTCCGGCGGATTCTCCCATGAGCGTGATATTGTTGGGATTCCCGCCGAACCTCTTGATATTGTCCTTGACCCACTGCAAGGCCATCAGCTGGTCGAACATCCCGGCGTTCCCCGGCACGTCCTCCGTGTCGAAGAACAAGAAGGCGAGGGACGCGACCCTGTACTGTATAGACACCATGATAACGTTCTCCTCGGACGCGAAGGTTCGCATATCGTACAAGTCCAGGGTTGCAGTACCTGAGTAGAACCCTCCTCCGTACACCCAGATTATTACAGCTGCGTTCTCAGGGTGTGGGTTCGGAACTACAACATTCAGATAAAGACAATCCTCGCTAAGAGGAGTATTTGCGTTCCACTGCTCACTACCTGGAAATCCTGGGAACATAGAGTCCCGGATTTGAACACAGGTGTTTGGTAGTTTCATTGTGTTAAGAACCCCCTCCCAAGGATCTATGGGGCGAGGATGGCGAAACCGAAGATTTCCAACCGGAGGTTGGGCGAAAGGTATCCCATACCAGGCGGATACCTTCCGCCCCTGTGGTGATATAGATTCAAAACCTTGAATTTTTCCCTTGATTGTCTCGACGACAAGGTCGGATGAGATCTGCGCCGCGGCGAGATTGAGGATGGAGAAGAGAACAGGAAGAACCCACTCCATTTCCAGGTTTAATCTCATCTCCGGGTCCAGTTCTCAACACCTATAACAGGGATAAATCAAAGCTGTGCCAACTCGGTCTAATTTTCTCAATATTATCATTGGCAGGTATAGAGCCTGAGATTTATAGGATTAATATAGATTAAGCGAGGATGACGTGAGAGATAGTGAGATACTGAATATATCCCATCCTTCTCTTCTCTCTACAATTTACAATTCTCAAAAAAGTTAATGTTTATCTAATGTGTGTCTCCATTGTGAGATGTGACCCTACAAGTTATATTTCTTGCTTGATAAAACCTAATATCCCATACAGTGACAACTAGAAAACATATGATTAGGAAGACGACATTATTGCAATACTGAAGTGCATTTGATGTGTTCACAAAGCAAATAGTTTTACTAGAGCTGACACTAAGTAAATCGTTAATTAATGAAATTGGTTTGTTTACACTGCACAAGTGCCGCGTCTCCTGCTCACTGGACTTTTTAAAGTTACAATTTGATTCTAAAAGTCGTTTTTCTTTTTCTGGTTATCACTGTAGTCTGTATAATGGTTGGAGCCGGGACAATATAACATATTAATGTGGCCACAAAGCTATCTAGGTACTAGGTACCGGGGTCAAGAGTGGAGTTGGAGTGACATTTTAAGATTGAGTTTGGATTTTAATTATTTACCACGTGAGACCTGACAAAATAAGTTAAAGTTCTGCTTATTTTATAAATTCATATTTCGAGAACCTTCTCTCTAATCTACATATTTATCATTTAATCTCTCCTTTATCTGGTTCTAACCATCCTCTTAGAGTCTTTAACTCGGGGTTATCAAGACTAAACGAGTTCTTTGCATATGGATAATTGAGAGTAAAGATAAGAGGAGGGAAGATGAGTATCTGGAAGAATTAAAATTTATAACAGAGCAGAAATTAGAAAAATGTGCGCAGCAAGAAAACTTATTTATGGATTTTGTCCCACAGATTTCAAAATTAAAAACCTACAAAAAATCTGAATGATTAAATGAAGGGAAAAGGTTTGTCCAAAGAAACATCGTTTTTAAGAGGTGTGGGCCGGGGGGGGGGGGGTTAAGGAAAAGGAAATTTAATTTAAACGTTGGATTGAAAAGTGAAGTTGAAACCCTATTTTGTATTCAGCAGTACTCCAGTACTACTCAAGTTTGACGTAGTTAAGCAACTTAGTTTATTCCTATCTAATTTTATACAGGAGTACAGGAGTACAGAAGTACAGGAGTACAGGAGTACAGGAGTACAGGAGTACAGGAGTACAGGAGTACAGGAGTAAAGGAGTACAGGAGTAAAGGAGTAAAGGAGTACAAGAGTACAGGAGTACAGGAAAGAAGGTAAGTACAAGGTTAAACAAAATTATACAGAAGAAGTATATGATGTAAGAAGTACATAAAGTATATGTACATAAAGTATATATTGATAAGTATCCAAGTATTCGCCTTCAACACAATTAATTAGATTACGATAGAAGCTTGCTGGAGCAAACCTGTATACTTGATAATACTAATTAAAGCAGATTGCTGGAATACATACAGAGGGTTTTATATACAGATATAACTGTACATTATTATACAGATTTAACTGTATATTATGCTTGAGACTAGAATTGTGAATCTATGTAAGAAAGTCCCGAGAAAAAAGTTTCTAAAAAAAACCTGTGTTTTTTATTCCTGGGATTTTTTTCTAAAATTTTTTTAAGGGCTTCCAATATAGCCTTAGGAAATAAGATCACAGGAAAAAATGTCCTGATGAAGATATATCCGAAGAAAAAAACCTAAGAAAAAAGTCATTTAAATCTTGTGAAAATGCATCTGTTCTAATTGAATATAGCCATCCGTGTGTTTTCAATATAAATTGCCCCTTTTTTTGCATGGTTGTAAACATCCAATGTTCCCATGCATTTTCTACTAAAATAAGACTGTTTTCCGGGGACATATTTGTATAAATTCATACAGGAGCCAGAAAAAAAGTCCTAGAAAAGAAAGTGTCGAATTGGTAGGACTTTATTTTCGGAGACATTTAATAAAAGGACTTTTTTGCCACAGGACTTTTTTTGTGCGAAATATTAGGACTTTTTTTCGGAAACTTTTTTTCCACGAACTTTTTGGCGGTTACCAAGAATTGCACAGTATGTTTGATACAATAACTGTAAAGTATGTTTGATACATAACTGTACATTATATGTTTGGTACATAAATTTTAAAAATGTTTACAATGTGTTAGGAACAACTATGTACAGTATGATTGTGACATGCATATAGTGTATGTATGATTGGTAAACCTACCAAAACCATACAAAAAAATGTGAAGAATAAACTAAGGGTCGATTATTCGTAAATAAATAGAGAAAAACCATTCAACATTATCTAATCAATAACCAGCCCAAAACTAATCAAGAGAAAAGAAAATAATAACAATTTACTTATTTCCTTTTATTTTAAAATAGAATTATTTTCGATTTTTTAATATTTACATTCTCTTTTGCTATTTTTCCCCTATTCTATTCTATTCTATTCTATTCTATTCTATTCTATTCTATTCTATTCTATTCTATTCAATTCTATTCTATTCTATTCTATTCTATTCTATTCTATTCTATTCAATTCTATTCTATTCTATTCTATTGTTTTAATTCTATTTTTAAGTCTATTCATTATCATCCTATATTTTATAGATATTAATATTAACTATCTAGATTAGACAGAGATGCAACAGATAGATAGATAGATAGATAGATAGATATAGATAGATAGATAGAAAGATAGATAGATAGATAGATAGATAGATAGATAGATATATAGAAAGGTAGATTTATAGAAATAGAAATAAATTGATTATTGGCAGAAATAAAAATAACGTAAACATTCTTATTCTCTTGAGTTATACACATGCACAGATTATACAGAGTAAAGTAAGCGCTTGTAATGCACTAATACTTAAACAACAAAAACGCTATTTTTGGCAGGAGATATTTTCCTACACGTAGATTTAACGGTTCTGTCAATATATCAGAGAGCTGTGACTTTCAATCACAATTTGACCAATTATACATAATATTTTAGCATTTTTTCTCAAACACTTTTTTGTTGGCATAAACATTTTGAATGAAAAGAATGAAAAAGTATAAAATAAACAAATCCGTAAGTTTAAAGATTGTTGATTTATAGACCAAAACACGTTTGATTTCAAATAAATTAAACCGAATGCTTCTCACTCTGGTTAGTCCGGGGTGCCTTATTTTGGACAAAATAATTAATATGCTTTTTACACTCTGTGCTTTGGTGTAATCAAGTAAATAATATCTCTCATTTTTAATGCACATAAAAGGGGCTGTAGAGTGTAGACATAATTTCAAGGATACAGGGTGTCCCATGAAACATGACAGTTAGTAAATAGTTTTGAATGTGGTCTTCCATACCCTGTATTAGATTTAAAAGGCTATTTGCAGTTTATTTAGTTTAACAAATCTTTTACTCAAGTATATTTACTTTGAAATTAATTTAAACTATAATATGACTCCTATAAAATATTTTTATTATTGTCTTTGGTATTAAACAACTTAACAAATTATGAAAGAAGACATTCTAAACTATGTTTCGTGGGACACCCTGTACCTCAGTCGTTGCTAATCAAATTAAAGGTTTGCTATTTTTCTATTGGACAAACCGCATAAATGGAAGGTTACTAGATTGAAATTATGCCTCTAATTTCTGTTTTACTGGCATTGGTTTAATAAATAGTGGTTTTTAATGTTTATTTTTAGTTTGTTTAATGTTTATGTGTTCGAAATAAATAAATGAAAAATAGTGAAAAGAATTGATTAGGTTTAATTATACAATAAATATGTTTGATAAAGTGTAACTTTGCTCAGTTTAATTTATTAAGATAATAAACCATTTAATGACTGAATAAACCAGTCAAGGATCCTCGGAATAAACCAGTCAAGGATCCTCGGAATAAACCAGTCAAGGATCCTCGGAAACAAAACACAAAGTTTTCTGCAAAATCTATATTTTCAAACTTTTTCCTAGAACTTGTATTAACAATATGAATATATACAATACAATTGTTTTCTTTACGAAAAATCAATATCTACTACTTGGGGCTTTCTAAAATACAATTCCCCGTGTGTATAGGGAAGATATGAGGAAGTAAGTGTTTATAATGTACGATCTAAAGAGCCCGGCGTTGCCGGTGGAAAAAAAATTTCGATTAATTTTTTAAAAAAAATTGAGTAGCCTATTATACACCATGGCCACCCATGAGTGTCCCCCAAAAAAATTAGCCCATTTGGTCCAGCCGTTTGGCCCACTGCACTGTAGGCAACATGTATATATAAATGAATTGTTTTATTATATACCAACACTATAGGCAACATGTATATATAAATGAATTGTTTTATTATATACCAACACTATAGGCAACATGTATATATAAATAAATTGTTTTATTATCTACCAACACTATAGGCAACATGTATATATAAATGAATTGTTACCAACACTATAGGCAACATGTATATATAAATGAATTGTTTTATTATATACCAACAAAGGATGATATTGTAATGATTTTTATATATCAGCCCATTTAAATGTTAAATGTATTAGGTAGCGGAGTAACGAGGTGTGAATTGATTCGGTGAAACCCACGCACCTCTGCCCCTTTAGTAAAAGTAAATTAAACCCATATGAAATTCAAATGTACTATGGCTGCCCGTGAACCGTGAATATAAGAAATAAAAAGTTCCTTACAGTCGTCTCTGAAATCTCATCCTGTATATAATGAATGATATGGTGTATGTTGGAAACTTTAAAAACTAACCAAAAATCAACACTTTTTATTTTGACATACAGAAAAACTTTGATATTTGAGAGGAAAAAGTTAAAAAAGGATTCTAAGATATATATATATATATACGAGCTGTGTAATATCCACCGAAGCTTAAAATTAGTTTTGGGGGTCGAGAAAGAAAGTAGTATCTTTTTGTTCTGTTGCTCTTGGTATATAATGTATAAAA